CGAAAAATAAACAGTTGCTTAAAATACAAAATAGCTCTGCTTGGTGGAAAATTTTTTGATTAACTTATTGAGTAAAATTAATAAAGAAATTTTTCAGGAAAAATTATTAGCATAGAAAAAAAAAAAAATGAAGAAGGAATTTGTTTGATAGTTAAAATTAAATATTCGTACTATAAGTTAAATAATGAATAAAAAAAAGAAAAAAAACAAAAAATAAAGTGAAATAAATAAATTGTTCAATAAATTAAAATTTAGGTGTCGAATTTTGCATTTTTTTTTTTTTATTTTTTCGAAGTATTTGAAAAATGAGTAATTTACAAATATTCCACTCATGTTCTTTCGTTTTTTTTTTCTTTTTTAGCAAGAAAAAATTTTTATAAATTTGTCTTTTTTTATCGTATTCAATAATTTTCCTCTTTTAAATGAATTCTTATAGTTCTTTTCTTTTTTTTTTTAAGATTGAAAGATTAAAATGTAATTGGTATTGTCCTATACAAGATAGTAGAAAATTAAAAAAAAAAAAATGTTAAACTGACTCTAGCTTACCATTCTGCTTCATTATTTTATTATTTCAAAATTGTTCAATTATTGTTAGAAATGGATCAAATAATTTGTTTTTTTTTTCATAGCCAAAATCAATATTTGGCCAATATTTGATCACTTACGCTGGAATAGCAATAACATATTTCAGAAGAAAAAAAGCCAAATATTTGTTTTTTTTTTTTTTGAAGTTAAAACATTCCGTACAATAATATATAATGATGTATTGTTTGCAAATGGAAAAAAATTATTTGCATAAAAATTTAACAAACAAATTTGCGAACACCGATTTCGTTTTTTTTTTTTTTTTGTTTTTTAGCGAATTATTTGTTAAACTATTAAAGAGATTTAATCAATTCAAAAATGGAAAAAAAAGAGGAATATTTGGGAATTATTCTAATGTATTGTAATAGATAACAATAAATATCGCATCGATATAATTAAATACTTAAAATAGGAATGAAATATTAATATTCGATTTAAAAAAAAAAGTGCTAAGAAAGTCAAAAAATATTCTAAAGCTTTTAACACATAATAAATACCCAATGTAATTAAATACTTATAATGAAAACGAAATATCATTAGTTTTCACAAAAAAAAAATTTACATATATATATATGCATATACATATAATATATATATATATATATATATAATAAAATCTCAAACGAAATGCTATAATGGATAGAATAATGTCGATATAATTGAATACTTAAAAATTTGAATTAAACATTCGTTTCGATTAAATTATCAATCAAAAAATTTTATCTGTAGTTAAAAGAAATTGTAACAGGAAGAAAAAACTGTGATTTACAATATTTGATAAATGATAATGATTATGATAAGATCAGTGAAAAATTTTCAACAACAAAGTCATCCATTTTTGATGGTTTCACTATCGCAGTTTTTGGTTTTTTTGTTCTTTTTTGTTTCCCAAAAAGTGTAAATACGAAATGAAAAATATCTTCTAAAATGAATTTTAGTTAAATAAAGTACACATTTTACATTTAAATGAGAAATATAACATATATTGTAAACTGTTAATACAAATGACTTCAATTAAATTAATTATCCACTTTTTTCTTCAAAAATCATACCATTATCGATTAATAACAGTGATAGTTTTTAATAATTTTAAATTGATGGAGGATAATTGTATTAAAAAACAAAAGAAAAAAAAAGGTAATTTGTTAATTGATCAATTTGCTAATTAACCAAAACAAAATTGAATCGTTTTTATTGTTCTCCTCTCTTCACCTTATTTCGATACATTTGCAAATGTCAGAATTTCATCAAACTATTGTCATTGATAAGATAGAAAAAAATTTTTGGAAATATCATTAAGTAGAATGAATGGACATCCTTTATGAAACACCTTGTCATATTGGATGACAATATTTTCCTTGACTTTTCAAGTAAATCTAATTTTTCTAATTACCTGTTTTTTCTTTCCTTTCATTAATTACAACTGCACAAATACTTACAATGAACGAAGGTATGCTTTATTGTTCGCATACTTAAAGCGGTAATTAACTCCACAATTCATAACATCTACTTTTAATTACTGAAGTTTTAAATTTTACGGCTTAACATAGCTTTTAATGAAACGGAAGCATCCGTAAAAGGAAGAGAGTAAGAGATCAAAAACAATGAAAAGTGATTGAGATTTTCCGGAAAAATTTCTAAAACATTCGGTTATCGGTAATTGTACCATCCAATGAGATAATAATAGTAATATAATTGATATAGGATAATTAAGTACATCAATTCAACAAAACGTTATAGGTTTAAATTTCGTTCCTTTCTCTTCTGTTAAAACAAAAATATTGATTGAAATGTAACGAAATTTTAATTAAACTATCAAATTTTCGTAAAAAATAGCCTATAAATGCAAACAATAATAATAATATATCAATTAATTAATTATCACATTTCAAAAAATATTTTACACAATCCTGTCACCACCAATAAAATCTAAAAATATTTTACACAATCCTGTCACCACCAATAAAATCTATTCCCAAAAATTTATTTTATAATATTAAACCCATATAATATAATAATAAAAAAACTATATTCGTTAGTTTTACTCCAACAAAATCCATTCCGGAAATTTATTCCAGAATAACAAACACTTTTCCTTTATACCGATATTGTTGTT